TAGTTTCTGTGGAGCTTCAGTCATGTGCTGTGTCCTCCTGTCATCTTATTTCACTGCCACTTTTGGAATCGGTCTCATTCCCTGTGTCTGAGAGTAACTAGTGCATTTCTCAGGCCTTAGAGCATCAGGGTGAAGAGGGAGTGTTTTGGTGCAGACAAACCTGGCTCTTCCTTGTCTGCGTCACCCTTATTTACAAAAATGCGGGTCATAATTGTACTTTCTTGAGGGGTTGTTCTGGTCATTAATTCTGACTGTGGCCCAGAAACCATTTAGGACTAAGTCTCAATAAATAATAACTGTTACCCATAGAGGCAAGTCCCAGATTTAATATTTTATTTGCAAACATCTTGTATATATGCCAGGCCCAGGAGATGAAGTCCTCTGTTACCCAGTTTTTGAATACCTACATAGTGATCACCTACATGCATGGTCTCTTTCCTTGACATATTAAGGTCAACAAAGTATAAACAAAGAAATTACCAGTGCTACTAGGGCCCTCAGCTACCTGGGTTTTTCAAGACCTCCCATAGCATTCATTGGGCACTGAATCATAGCTCAAGCCAGTATGTCTGATGATTGTACTGTCGCTGCTAAGTTGTTGTTACATCCATGTAGGTAGTACCCTGCCCTTATTCCTACTCCTCTGCCTTCCTGCGGCCAGCTGGAACATAGTAGTTAGTGAATGAACCTCATTAAGTGCCAAATTCTGCACCGCCCCTTGCCATAATGGAGTGCGGGTAAATGCAACTATTACCTTTCACCCTTCCAAAAGAGTGTATTTCAGAAAAAATATAATAGAGACTGTACAATTTAAGCTGTGTGCCCTGTGGTGTAAGGATCTGTTAATAGAAAATATTAATTTACACACATCTGCTAAAGTGAAACAGATATAAATAAGCTAAATTCTGTTACCTCTCACATCCCCCTCAAGCTGTCCTTTGGAAAGATTGATTTCCAGATTCAAAAGGTTTTTTCAAAATGTCTCTGTTCCTCCCGTCACAGCCTGCAGTGTACATAAGAATAAAGAACCGAGCCCAGGACGAGTATCTGACAGTCACCGGAAATGTAGCTGACACAAGGGCAACATCTGTGTGCCTTTCTCCCTACAGTGGGAAGAATACCCAGATCTGGCACTACTGTCGAGGACTCTTTAAATCCAAGGTAACCAACCCCACTGATAGTATACCCCGCTTTTCGGTCTTTGGTATTTTTCGTTTGGAAACCAAAATCTTGCCAAATCAAATGGCATGATAAAATAATGCAATTCCCTATCAACAGTTTTTTGCATAATTATAAGAACATTGACATATATATTACTGAAGCATCTAGGTGAAATGGGCTTAGAAACTAGATTTTCTACATCAAAAAATTCTCTATTTTAAGTAAAAAGTAAGATTAACACATACTATGGATATTCCTAAATGGTTTTTTTAAACCAGTGATAAGTCACTGTACCCAAATGGACAATGTGCTTTTGTGAGACGTTCCTTACACTCTGCGGCCCAGATTAATTTAGCTGTCTTTGTGATTCCAAACATGTTGAAGCCTCCTCATCTTCAAAATATACAATGAAGGTAGAGCTGCTGTTTTTTGGAGGAAGCTTAGAAAATAAAACTTAGGTTTCTTTGTTTTTCTGCAACCCTTCCATTATGTTTGATGCTGTGGGGAATAAGACACCAGTTTTATTATATCACCAGTGGATTATCGACCATTTTCTCATGCTTCAACAAAAATGAGAAGCACTTAAAAGTAATTATTGTCTGGGTATCTTGCACATCACCCAAGGTTTTTTTGTTTTTTGTTTGTTTTTTTTGCGGTGTGTGGGCCTCTCACTGCTGTGGCCTCTCCCGTTGCGGAGCACAGGCTCCGGACGCGCAGGCTCAGCAGCCATGGCTCACGGGCCCAGCCGCTCCACGGCATGTGGGATCCTCCCGGACCGGGACACGAACCCGTGTCCCCTGCATCGGCAGGTGGACTCTCAACCACTGCGCCACCAGGGAAGCCCACCCAATGTTTTTGTAAGAAAAACAGGCTCGACCTTACACATTTAAGCTAACAGGGATTCAACATTTAATTGTAATTCAACAAACCTTTGACCAATGTTGTCAGATCCAGACCATCCTTTTAAAAACAAGTACCTCTAGTTCAGTATGTTTATTTCCATACCATCTCCTTCCTTCAGCCATAAAGAAGACTTAAAAAGTTGACTGAATTTATAATTATGCTAGTTTTCTTTTGAGATTAGACAGTCATGTCTCTGATCTGTTCACATGAAAGAAAAGGGGCCCAATCCAATTGATTTTAGTAAACACAGTACTGCCAATTTATTTCTTGACCCTTTTAGGCCAGTGACACATGTCTCGATGTGATTGGTGGTCGAGACGTACCTGGAGCTAAAGTTGCCCTATGGACTGAACATGGGCAGTTCAGGCAGAAATGGAGACTGAACAAAAATGGGACCATCAGCTCCTACCTCAGTGACCAACTTGTCCTTGATGTTAAAGGTAGGCCTGTGATGAAACCCAGTGTTCTGTGTCCTTGGATATTCCTTTTAAATTCCAAGCCTCCTCCTCCTTATGGGTAAAAGAAGTCCTTATGCATAAGGGAAATATTAAATCATTTTAAATTATGCTTGAGAAAGTCGAGATATGCCATTTTAACAAAACAATTAGCTATATACGGATCAAGAAAAAGCCTAAGGACCAAGCCTACAAAGGTTTTTGTTTATCAGTACAGCTGTAAAATTTTCATTTTCTACATGATCTTTGAGAACATTTCTAAATTTGAAGCATCATCAACCATAAGATGTCATCCATTTCCTAAAGAAATATTTCTCACTTTCTGTTGTGCATTGCTGTGGTCCTTAAAATGTATGGTCCTTTAAATTTATCATTTAAACTTGTTTTTGAGTCCAGCCAAGGTCAGGGCCAATATTATTCAGTGCTGTCGCTTTAATTGAGTTAGTCATAGCCACTCTTGGTGTAGAAACTAAAACCCAGTACCTGCCGCTGAGCTAGAGCACTCTCAGAGCACTGTGTTAAGAAACCCATTGTCAGGGCACACCGCTTATGCAAACATCTATTATACCACTTAGCTTTTCAATCAGTCATAATGTCTGATTTGAGGTGAAGAATAGCTACGCCCGTTTAACCTGTTTCCCATTTCAGACCGCTTTACAAATGACATATTAATCTACCCCAACAGTGAGTGGGCTGAGCAAAAGCCTGTGACAACTGAAATTGCTAAGCACCTGTGTGAACAAATAATCTTTCCTTTTGGGATTTCTGTTTTAGGAGGAAATTATTATGACAAAACTCATGTAATTGTAAATGAGCCCCTGGAGGGAGAAGAAACACAGAAATGGGACATTGAAATATTGTGAGAGAATCTGCAGCATCCCTGAGAGAGAGCAAGGGGAGAAGGACCCTCATGCCCCGTGAAAAGGAAGCTACCTGTCCTCATGCTTCTGGGATCACTGAGCAGAATGAACTTCTTCCCCAACCTTGAAGACTATTGTTGTTAACCATGGAAAAGCTCAAAATATTCTTGCCAGTCATCCAGTGTTCCTATGAAGAATGCGTTAACGATTTCTGGGAAAGGTTCTACTCCTGCTTGATCTCCAGCTTCGGTGAGCAAGCTTCTTGAAGTCTCTTCTCTCTCCTTTCCACCAAACACGAATCCTATCCCTGATAGCCATTATAGGACACTGGTGATGCTGTCATCCTGTGTTAATTAACCTCCTAGTAGATGTGTGTGTGAATGCAAGGCACAGAGAAGCAGAGTCCTATAGGTCAAGTCATACTTTTAAAAAGACGAATAATATTTTTAGCAATATCTGAAAACATATTTAATAAACCTTACTATTAAGCTGCTGTATTAGATAAACATTAAAGGTTCCCTATTGAAGCTTTTATAACTGAAGCACCGTAAGTATTCACACTTGTAACTGACCCCAGGGAGGGGACCTCAGCTTTGTAAGGAAAAGGCTCAAGTACAGGAGTGTTTTCTGTGGCTGTTGTTTGCTCGGTCCTTCAAACTAAAAAAGCACAAGTAGCCTGCGGCTGTCCTTGCACTCTAAGTATTAACAGAGACACCCTTCTGGGTGACAAGACTGTAAGTAACCGGGGCTTACCTATCCTGGTTCTGAGACCTCACCTGATCTACCCTCAAGAAGTGTTTATAAAGACTCTGTCACCTACGTGTAAGAATAGTCAAATTTTTCTTTGCCTGAAGTAAGGGGAAATTTCAGATGTTCAAATTAAGACCAAGTAGTATCTGATCCTTGACTATACCACTTTACTTTACAAAATGTGACAGAAAACTCAGTTTTTCACTCCCATTTTAAATAGCTTTCATTCAAGCAAAATCAGGTAGGATAATGTCTTTGACTTAGTTTCAAGTAATCATTACCACCATCACTATACAATTCTCAAGCATTTTTCCCTCCTGAGTTGGTTTTAAACTTACATTGAGACAACTGTTCCCTTCATCCCCAACTTTTGCCAGAAAGCAGAAAAAGGTCTGCTCTATTTTTATATACAGAAAGATTAAATTCTCCAATGATATTTTTAAAAATATCAACCTGTATGCACTTTAGAATGTTAACAGTGAACTGTTTAAACTCAAAGACCCACTATTTTGAGTATTTTTTATAGACGTGGTCTTTCCATGTAAATATTATTGTGTTTTTTTTTTCCCTTCCCTTTAATCTCAGGCTCTTTTGTCATCTTTCAAGCAACATCTGTAAAACTATTTTATGCCCACAGATGTGAGTGCCTGTTAGTGTGGCAGTATTATTTAATGAAATTGATGTTATAAGGTAACTTTATTTTAATGGGAGGCCTTGTGTGTACACAAAGGTAGGTATGTATATTTTCACTGTAAAAAACCAAGTTAAAAAATTCTTCATGTTAATTGTTTAAAATTTTTCTAGAGCCAGTGAGGCTCTTTAAAGAAGTTGTTTCTTCCAAAGAACAAAGACAAAGCCAGGTAACGACATGTAAATTTAAATGATACATTTATTGAGCTGTGCCTTTTCTACCACACTGGATTAAATAAACTTGTCAAGAAGTACAGTTTTTGTCACCTTCTGGGACATTTAGTAATTTGCTGTTCTTTCTTCTATGTACCTCTGTTAGTACACATGGCCAACTGGTCACCTTTAACAGGTAGGTCTCATGTTATGTTATTAGATACACAGGTAAGGAAAGTTACATTCATTATGTCCTTGGTTCAAAGCAACAGGGGCTCCCTAGCATGTAAATCTTTGCAGAATCAAGTGTCTACTATTTTATATATACATATTTAAAAAGAAGCAAAGGCACTAGACTACTTGGATTAAACATTCTGTCCAGAGGGCTAATACCAGGCTTTGCTTTTCCTCATCTGTAGTAAGTTTCAGGTCCTTGACAGAAATAGCTGAACTGTTCCAAATTTGCTTCAGTGCATCGATATGTGATAAAGGAAAGCGAAGTCCATGAGACTGAAAAAAGATAAACTATTTAGTCACTTAGGTGGCATTTTCCATAATTTCTCAATACATCATTATTGATATCCTTCACAAGTATGAAACTTGTTTCAGATAAGCTACTTACAAAAACTATGATAACTTATGAAAGTTGCTAATTCCCATATGAAAACTCAGACTTCATGAAAGGTATTCTATTTTATAGAGTAAGAAATATTAATCCTTTGAGAAATGCTTCACATTTGTTACACCTTTCCCACAAGGCCACAGGTCCTAGTATCTTTTAAAGTGGGTACATATATCACAGAAATGTCTGACTTAATCATCCCTGTGCAAGGGCTGTCAATTTGTGAAATGTGAAGTCCACACTGCAGTCATAAAAAAAGGTCATTACCCATAAATCAAAGGTAACAGATTCTTCCCAGCCACCAAATCGCAGGAAAGACATGCATTTTAGGTTGGAACAAACCTCTGTTTCCTCATTTCCCATCATGTGTGTGTCTCTCCTATTCTTTAAGGAATGATAGATGTAAACCATCTTTTCTCGAGTTTCATCCTTAAAAAAAAAAACACAGCAAGTCGTCAACACCAAAATATTGAGCACTTCAATACTAGGAGGGTTTTCCAATAACAAAGGTCAACACCAAGAAAAATCTTAATGCCTCAGTGCTTAAGTGAAATTTATTGAACACTAAAGAAAGAATCCTTCTGGCAAAAAAATTATGAGATACAGATAAATATAGATATATACACACGCAATGTAGAATATACGTATTTCATTATAGTGCTCACAGATTACTATTTGTATGCAGCAAATAACCACTCGTCATTTTTCAAAAAGATAACAGCATCTTCAGAAACGACCTAATGAAAAAGCAACCATTTATATATCAACTTACCAATGAAACATTCAAGTTTTTCGTTTCATCATACCTGCACTATCTTTTTGCATCAGAAAAATTTGACATTCCTAGGTATACATAAATGGACAATTTATGAACACCACAGAGTAAATATTAATTCCTAAGAAATACCAGCTATGTGATCTATAAAAACTTCTATTCCATGTATAGTAAAGTAGGCTCCCGAATGGTCTCGACTTCCCGTCCCTCTCCACCCACCATAACACAGTGCAGTTTATTATCTCTTCCAGAACCTTTAGAAATTCCTTGTCACCTCTCACTCAGACGAGGACCCAAAGCCTTAGCCTGAAATAGAACGCCTCAAACTGATTGATTGGTTAGCAGAATAACTAGGATTTTCTTTTTTTAAATGGGGATGTGGGAGTATATACTTTTTAGGTTTTATATATATGTTATAAACCAGTCTTCTCCAGGGCTGGCCCTGATGGCTGGAAAAATAGGGTTCTGGAGACATCTCGGTGCCCCCCGACTCTCATCCCCTCCAGACATTCATTGGACACCTCCCAAGAAAGCTGATTAGGAGGAACAGGGTGAAGCCACAGGGCATGGGAGAGTTCCCAAGGGCTTTAGGGTTGTGTGGGGTGCTTTCAAAATAAATGCAGAGGCTCCACACCAGACGAAGCCCAGGAACTTACAAGTTCTAAAAATTTTCCAGTTGACTGTAATCAGCCAGTTTGGGGAACCACTGGGCTAGGTGGCAAGGGTATGGAATGTAGATTTTCCTCTCCATCATCTACAGAATAGAGAGTTTTCGAGAAGAACCATCAACAAAACCATATGTAAAGGCAGGTCTGCGCCGTATACAGGATGGGCGAGGGACTGAGACAGGGAGACGCATGAACGGGGTCTGTGGCCATCTAAGCAAAGGCAACCTGGCCTGAATTAGGAGACAGAGAACAGACATTTAATTACTAATTAGAGAAAAGAAGGAGGGTTCTGTGGGGCCGAAGACAAGCCCTCAAATGCCCAACAGGCAGGAAACCTTGGAACCATAACAGTGAGATCTGGGCATGATCTGATCTAAAGAGATGGCGTTAAGCTGTGAGGAGGTGGATGCCCAAAGGAGGAGGGCAGGGCCATTTGTCAGTCTGATAACCTGGGGCCTGTGATGGAAATGCCCTGAGAAGAACGGAACCCCCTTCCCCTCTGGATACTCACGGATGGGTCCTGATCGGGTCCTACAGTGAGGACAACGTGGTCTCTAAATTGCAGCCTCACAGTGCTGTCCAACCCCGGTAACCGTCCACCTGGAAAACCCAGAGACAGGGAAAGCCATCTTTCAGAGAGGAAAGCAGCAGGCTCAAACCTGCTTGCAGGAGCAACTATTTAGGAAGTACACTTAGTAACAATTTGCAGGTGAATCCAAATGTGGGGCGCCCTCTCCAGCTCAAGTATTCGCTCTCCCTGACATGTACGGTGATCTGAAAAGTGTAGCTGACATCTTGATGGAGCTCATCCTTATACTGAAGACACACATACAGACTTCGTTGTTATTTATCTAACTAAGTTCATTTAAATAGTTGTCACCAGTACCCAGGGAGCACATACTATCACAGTACAGACAGGGCCACCATGCCTTCTGCACAGAATGCTCTCACGTCTCCAGTTTCTCTCCCCTGCTTGCTCCACATGTGGACTCTGAAAGGACTTCCAGAACTCAAAGTGCACCACCCCTCCAATTACTAGTTCTATGACCATGGCAAATTATTCAGCCTGTGTAGGTCAAGCACAGTGTCATAAAAAAGCCACCTAATAAAGTCCACAGGAAAAACTACTCTTTCCTAGATTGGATTTAACAGTGAAAAAGCAGCCACTACAATCAGACCAGCCTTACAGGGTCTTCTGGCTGGAGAAAGAGTTGAGGGATCATAACTTTATTGACTATAAGGACTAAGGCAAGGAAAACTCTGGATAACATATCCTGGGCCATAAGCTGATACTCAGAACACTGTTCTGCTAAAGATTAAAATATGTGCTGGGAAAACATGTGCTATTTTGAGTAGATGCTATCAAAAACAAATTTTAAACTCCCCCCCCCCCCCGAGACTATAATAAAAATGTACATAGAATCAGTGTTAGAAGGGACCTTGTACAGTGTGTATCTCAGTGGTTCTCCACTGGTGATAAGGCTTTTATGAAAATTAGTGAAAATGAAACTCTCCCTGTACCTGACTAAGAGAGAAGGAGCCTGAGAGCCAGCCTGGCACTCGCGGCTGTGTCTCCATGTTCTCCAGCTGAACACAGGCCATTACACAGAACCCCGATATTAAGCAAGGCCACGCTGTGACTGAGAGAGATCGAGACAAAACCAAGACCACTTCATCATCAGGTCAGAACTCAGGCCAAAGCAAGGACACTGTCCACACCACAGAAGTGACCAGACGTGCCCTATCCTGGTTGACCTGAGTGACTGCTGCTGCTGCTCTACCAGCTGTCACCTTGGCTTCATTTCACTCCTCCTGCTACTGGCTAAGATTTACAGGAGACCCAATCCGAGAATCCCTTTTTCCCGACAGCATTCAATCCCGAGCAGAGCCCTGCTTCCTTGAACCCTCCTGAAAATCACCTAACTCAAACCCAAATCCTATAAATCCTTTCCAACATCCTTTTACCGAGGTGCCTACAGTCCCCAGTGGTGTGCTCTCTTCCCTGTTACAAGTCAATAAACCCAGCTTTGTCCGACTACAGGAGTGTGGTGTGGTCTCTGCTCCAGAACACCGGTATCACCATCCACCCAGAAGTCTATCAGTGTCATCTGTACCTGACACCTGTCACAAAATAGTCACCTGGGACTTGGGAGAAGGTCTGATAATCTTGGGCATTCTGGTAGTTCCCCTGCTGATGGCAACATTTTACCCATCCCTGGGTTAACTCCAACAAGATTATTTCAATGTTCAAGTTCTTAAAACTTCCTGAAGATGATGAATTCCAGAGGGGCCCTAACCACACATACTCCTCACCCCAAATCACAGGGCTCTCATTCCCCATCAGGCTGCATGTCCTGTCCAACCTCACACTAAGGATAGGCCCACATTAATCCTCAAATGCTTCATACATTCCATCAGCTCAAAGAGGTGCCCACCCAGAAAAGCTCAAAATAGCCCACATTAGCCCGACCACCTAGAAGAAAAGAGCAAAGCTCTACCTGGTGTTGAAAGCTCTGCTCCATCTCCCACATAGTACGGTGGGAGTCTGTTCATAGCAAAATCCTTCTTCATGTCTGCTGAAAGCAGTTCTCTGGTGCCCTCCAGCCGGTCTGCAAGCATCCTCAGAAAGCCACTTAATTTTCTTGTTGCAACGGCTGTGGTTTCCACCTGCTAGAAACACAGAAGTGAGTCCGGGCCCAGACTCCAGTGACCTTACTGCCCAGGTCCCAGTCTCTGGAGTAGTCCACTGACCACCATCACCCAGGGCAGACGCAGATCCACGTCACTCCCTTAAGAACCGTATCCCTTTATTTCCTCATAACCACTGTTCATCTTAAGCTGCCTACCGTTTGCAAAAAAAGATCAATTTTCAGGATGTTGCCTGAAAAGAGGGATCCCTGGGAACATGGCACAGTCTCGGCTTTGCCTTTTGAAAAGCAAATCGCTGTCTAAGGTGTCTGCTTCAGACCGCAAAAGCACCCTCTGCTCAACTCAGCACTGATGCACTCAGCTTCTCAAAACTAGCCAACAGGGCTGCTGTTTCAAAGGTAAAACCAGGACGGACAGGAAAGCCAGGGAGCACACCAAGGCCAGGCTCTCCAGTGGGTCTGTCCTAACTAGTGATCTCACGTGTGCTCAGGCTACAGTTCCCAAGCCAGGTTAGTTAGTCATTCAACCACTGATTCAGCCAGAGCTCCCGGTGCCTGCCACTGCCGCCATGAAGTACAGGAAGCGGGCCGTCTGCACAACACTGTTGGTCCTTTGGGCGGCATGCAATGTGCAGCACTCCATTTGTTCTGCAAACCACCGTGCCCGGGAGAAGACGAGCTTGGCTCGCACGGGGAGGACTCTGGGGTCCCGAGGAGGGAGCCACAGCTTCAGCTGTCCTGGGCCGTGGTTACCCCGCCTTTCCCACCTGCCTTTACTCCTTACCAGGAGCAGCTGCCGGGGTATGCCGGCCCGTAGCTCTACGTCTGCCTTTGCAGTATCAAACACGAGCCCTGAAATGGTGTCCAAAAGGAAATCTCCCCATGAACTGGAACGTGTACCAAGAAAAAAAAAAAAGAGTGAACACATAAGAAATGTGCACAGAACACTGATTACTAAAAGCCTAAAGCTACAAACTGTCACGCCAATTCCCCTGCCCTGACGTCCTGAGTTCCACTAATTTCACATTACTCAGCATAAAGACTTACGGCCTTCATCAGTCAGTCTTCCCTTACTTCCCATCCCAGACACTCAGGTGCAAAATTAAAGGTGGGAAGCTAGGCTTCCTTCATGATTTGTCTTAAATGTAAAGATACCAGAGAATTAATTACAGACTGTCATAAAGTAGGAAGTTTAAGGGACCAATTTTTTTTTTTTTTAATGTTTTCAACTATGTAACACAGAGCCTTGAGGAGAGCTTTGCAGGAAACTTTAACCCTCAATCATTATAGGACCTAAAAAGATTTTTATGTGTAAAAAATCCAAAGCAACACATTTAGGGTAACAGCAAGATCCCCGGACTGTGTAATCATCTGAACAGTTAAACACTACATTTTCCTTTGTTCCTTGTAAAAATTCCTCAGCAAAATATCCAACATCAACAATTTCAAAACAGTTGATTTTGCAACTTGTTAAACCCTGGCAGTGGTTTTACTGGGGTATGAGATAGAAGCCAGAGGCCAAAAATACCATCTCGGGACGAGCATCAGTGTTCAGTAGCCTCTGCTTTCTCTGGGGCATTTAGAATCGCTCGCTCCTCAATGTGTGCCAGTGTGAGAAGCACACGCTGTGGGGCTGCTCTCTTTAAACACTTCTGAGCTGTTTAAAATTTTCCTCTGTGTCACCAGCAGATTTCAAATTGCTGGCTGCATGCAAGATGGAAATTCACAGTATGACTTTTGCTTCTCACGCAGTAACAAAATTAACACTTTTATGCTTCCCTCCTGGAAAAGTGGCAAAAGAGGACAAAAGCCACATGAGACACTTCCCCCAAGACGTCCACTCCTCCGTGGTAGCCTCACCACTTGTGACATAATGCTACACCCAACCTCATACCTTCGATTGAACTTCGACCATAGAGACCTTTCAGCAGCATGAAATAATATCGTCCTTTGAAGGGTCCCAGGTACAAGTCATGCAGCAGCAGCTCACAGAGGAGTTTAAGTGCCGTTAAATTGAGCTCTGTGTTCTTCTAGGAAAACGGATCTTGGGCCTTTCCAAAGTTTGGAAATGACACCTCTGGAGGGGTTCACTTTGGTAAAGCAGCCAAATCGACAGGCCACTGTCTCATCCAGCTGGCCCTAAATGTTCCAACGACGCTACCCTTGACAGGGGTTAGGAAAAGGCCCACAGGCCTTAAGGAGCACCAGGACCAAAGCATAGGGACACCTCTGGGGAGCGATGGTCCTCGAGTTACATCTGTCCCGTTCTAGCACCGGCCCCCCTGACAAAGGCCCAGGTCGGCATCCAGCTTAGATGCACGGGTCACGGTGCCTACCCACAGCCCCCAGCAGGCATCCTCTGTAACTCAGACCTCTCTTCCCCAGCCCTGCTGCCTGCAGAGGGGGTGGGTGGGACCAGGGAAGGCTACCAGTTCATCCTGGGGACTGGGAAACAGCGAGTCAGGCACTCAGTGGAAGCAAAAGCTAATAGGTTCAACGAGATCGAGGGAGGTCAGAGAAGTAACTGAGGATGCCTTGTGATGAGCCAATGTGAGTAAATAGAAACCGAGGAAGGAAAACAAGGGAGCGAAAACCGATTACTAGGAGACCAAGAGAAATGAAAAAGAGGGAGAATTAGAGAAAGAGGGAGCAGCTGAGTAACCTCAACGGCGGGACACCAGAAGATGGACATTCATGGGGCCAAACTATCAATATGTGGCTGCCGAGGCCCAGAGCTGCTTTAGTCCAGAACGAACTTCTGGTTCAGCCTCCCTGCAGCCTGCCCTTCCCCAGTTCCTATGACCCACCCCCTCAGTCACCTCTGTTCTTCTCGAGCTGCCCTCAGAGACCGTTTCTCGCTATGCAAGGCACCTAACCAGTCACGGTGACAAGGGCATTTTACATAAAGGAAGCCCCAAACAAGCTTTAGCTTCTACTTGTGGGCAAAGAGAGCCTAACTTCAGGCCAGACTCCAGCTAGCTCCTCCTGTCTCTTAAACTCAGGGGGTTCACTTCTCGCTGAAAAGCCACATGAGGAGGCAGAAGAATGCTTACTCACTTGTTCTGCAAGATACGGCTTTGAAGTTAGGAGGCGACTGGCTGTCCCTCAGGCCGGGAATATCCTCTCCTACTCTGACCTCCTGACCCACTTCTACTTACTCCTCCTGTAAATCTCCCTCAGCTTGGGTGTCAAGTCATTTCCAAAGCCTTCCCTGAGGCCCCGGCTTAGCTAAGTGCGTTCCTCTGTGCTCCCAGAGTCTCCTCTGCAAACCTATGATGGGATGTGTCACACTGTTTGGTGACTACATGCCTATCTCCCCTCCTTCCACCACTTCCAGAGAGTAAGTTCTCTCAAAGCGCCTTCAGTCCAATGCCTACAATCTCAGCAACTAGCACAAGGTGTAGTGCTGCATGAAGAATAAATTAATGACTGGCGTTTTTAATGGGACCTGGACTACTGAGGTCGCTGCTACCAGGAAATGACTCACTGGGCACTGCTGCCCTGGCCCTGTCACGTGACGAGGCACTCGCTGAACTGGAACACGGTTTTAATTGGAATTGTTTTTAGCACGTGTGCTTTCAGGACTCACTGTTCCAGACTTCCTTTCTGACTTTAATTTCATGAACTGTAAAAAAAATGGAAGCCTTAAAATAGACCCAGAGGTTTCAATGGATAGAGTTTCTGTTTGGGGTGATGAAAATGTCTTGGAAACAGGTAGTGGTGACGGTTGCACAACAGTGTGAATATAGTTAATGTCAGTGAATTGGACACTTAATGGTTAAAATGGCACATTCTATGTTATAAATATTTTACCACAAGCAAAACAAAATTTGAAGGGGGCGGGGAGGGGGAGAGACAGAGACAGAGACAGAGAGAGACAGAGTGGGGAAGGGAGGGAGGGAGGGAGAGAGGCAGGGGATAGGGGTGTGGGAGAGAGACTACAAGCCCAGCCTGGCAACACGAACACACTGCCACACCCACAGCTATGCTTCTATCTTCCCAAACCATGGGAGACTTTATTTGGGCAACTCCCAGCATTCTGTGGAGTCAGGGTCATGACAGGCCAGGAGGAAGCCTGAGTGAGTCAATGGCACAGGTAGGACGCTGAAGGAATAGGAAGTCAGCCGGAAACCCCGGGGCCGGGTAAGGAGGAGAGAAGCAGCTAACTCCCTCACGTCTCCTGAACACGCCGCTGTGGCCACAGCTCGGAGCTGTTGGGGACGCAAGGCTGCAGGTGAGTGCTCACCTGCTCTGGTAGGTGCTGATGGTCACGTGCGTGGAGTGGGCCAGCCCTGAGGGAGTGTCCGCCTGATGAACGGTCCCTCTGGGAAAGTACAGCAAGTCTCCTGGCTAAAGGAAAAAAAAAAAGGGGGGAAGGAGTTAGTAGAGAGGATATCTTCTCGTTCTTCTGGAAAGGCTGTGAGTTTCAGTTCTGCATTCTAGAAACCTCTATGGGTGATTCGAGCAGTGGTCTGCATGCCGTTCTCTGTGGTATCCACCCGTCTAGCTCTGCTGTGTCTGTGAACCTGTCACCATGAACCCCAATCCTGGAGAGGCTTCCAGAGCCTGAAGTCACTTTCTTTATTCATAAGCTGAGACCAGATACACCTGAAGCCACCCTGGGATCAAGGTGACAGCCTGTGCCTGGGAAGCCTGCTCCCGCCCTCCACACCCGTCAAGGGGAGCGGTGAGGATAGGAGCTTTAGAGCCATACAGAGGCTACACTCCCTGGCTGTTGGCCCCAGCAAATTACTTAACCTCCCGAGGCCTCAGTTCCTTTATGTGTAAAATGGAAGCCATCGCCCCAAATCTCACAGAATTATTTTGAGGATTAAAGGAAAAGAGTTCTTGGAGCTGCCTTCCCTGGCGGTCCAGTGGTTAAGACTCTGCACTTCCAATGCAGGGGCCGTGGGTTTGATCCCTGGTCGGGGAATTAAGATCCCACATGACGCACGCGAGGCACGGCCAGAAACAGAAAGCTCTTGGGGGCAATGCTGGGCAAGTGGCTGTGGCTGTATTATGATTCTTATTGTACCTGCCAGTCCCTGAGAGTCTGTGAGCTCTTCCAAGCAGGGTCCATATCCATCTTGTATCCCCAGGGCCTAAACCACCTAAGCATCCAGCACACACCAGAGGCTCAAAAGATGTCTGGAAGAATGGATGAAAAACCCTGTGACCCTTCATTTGAACCTAAACACTACACGTAACTAAAGATCAGTCCCTTCTCGGGCAGGTGAGCCTCCTCCACCCTGTCCTATTTCTTTCCCAAGCCACGGAACAGATATATTTTCCCCAAATCACTACTGCCCTGGAGCTTCCTCCTCCCTAGTCCCAACCAGAAAAAGAACATTCTGTATAAGCAGTTGCCTGAGCAGAGGAGAGGGAATCTTGGGAGTCGCTTATCTGCTCTCTACAGCCCTGCAAAGCCTTGTCTCACTGGTTAAGAGCATGGGCCCTGGAGAAAGAGCTCAAGAAATATCAGATTAAAAAAACTTCTCTTTTTAATGTTAAGTGCATACATAAGTAATTATATATGTACTCATAAGAGCTATCTTGCCCTGGATAACACCAATCTGACAGGGAAACTAGTACTTCCAGTAAACAAATGCATTACTCATAATTACAGGTATCATTTGTGAGAGTCTGTGGGCCAGCCCTGTGACTGAGGCCCTCACGTACATATTTCATCCATCCATTCATTTATCCATCCCACAAACACCTGATTAACCCTTCCCTGCCCACCACCCACGCCAGGGACCTGTGCTAGGCACCGGGGGAGAGAGCACTGAACGAAACAAAGACCTGCCCTGATGGAGCACATTCCAGAAGAGAAAAACATTTGAGAAGGGAGAAGGTACACTAGACAATGAAGACATTCTAGTGGGGCAAGAAGGATAAAATAAAGCAGCAAATAAGTAATGTCAAGTGATGGCGAATGCAAAGAAGACAAAAAAAGCAGAAGGAGGAGGAGGGGAATGATGTTGATGGAAGTGGGGGGTGGCGGGGGGTGTCTGGGATTAGAGGGGCTATTTGACCCAGGATGGTCCATTAAACCTGACCCTGCTAAGGTGACATTTCAGTAGAGACTTCAGGAAACGAGCAAGCCAGCCATGCAATGACCTGGGGAGAAAGGATTCCAGGAGGAGGGAAGAGCAAGTGCAAAGGTCCTGAGGTTGGAACGTGCCTGGCAGGTTGAGGGGCATCGGTTAGGCCAGTGTGTCAGGAAGGTAGTGAGTGAAGGTGGGAGTGATGGGAGGTGCAGTGAGCAGGCAGCAGAGGGGCCAGGTTACAGGGCCTTCTAGACCATTTTAAGGACTTCAGCTTTTTTATAATGATAAGACAATTAGCCATTTGACATACCACTGTCCTGTTTCTGTTTATTCTGAAAGAACTAGAAAAGCTAATTTTTTTAACCAAGAAAAAAAATATTTCTGGCTTCAATCCAAAGGCTACATAAACCAGCAGCATAAAGCCTTGAGAAAAGGAGGATTGGGTATAAATGAGTTCCATTTTCATTGTCTTTAATTATTCCATTGATATTAATGCCTTTGAAAATATACACAATGGTAATGAATATGGTGGTACACTAGGATGTTGAAAAATATTTTAAAGAAATTTTATTATAATTTTCCATTAATTAGATCATTAAAACTTACTATGCTATCAATTTTCCATTTAAGTAATAAAGTATTGATTATTTTTTAAAAAAAGGACTTTGGCTTTTATTCTGGGTTTAACGGAAAGACAGTAGAGGTCTGGGCAAAGGGTTCAGGGATCACAAAAGGATCATCATGGTTGTTATGTCAGAAACGTCTGCAAAGGGGACACTAGGTAGGAGGCTTCTGTATAAATCTATGTCCAAGGATTTTGCCCCAAACAAGTAGAAGAAGGGTGACACATTTGCAGGGAGAAGGAGGTTGGGGACAGGGTAGGACACGGGATTTTGGTTTGGGGAATATTAAATTTGTGGTATCTTTTACATTTCCAGGGAAGACATTAAGTGGGCAGCTGGATTATGAGTCTAGAGTTTAGAGATGTGGGCTAGAGATCTAAAACAGCGTTTAAAATACATCAGTGTAGAGGGTATTTGAAACCTTGGGAGGGGATGCTGACTGATCAAAGAAGTCCAGGAAATGAGCCCTGTACCCCAAATTAGAGAAGTAGGAAGACTGAGGACAAAACAGCGAAGGAGAATGAATAGGACAGTCAGGAAGGTGGAGAGAGAACCAAGAGAAGGTTGCATCCCGGAAGCCAGTGGACAGGGTGGAAGTGACCCACTGTGTCAAATGCTGACGACAGGCAGACTAAGAGGGGACTAGGAGTTGACTGCTGTACTTGACAACGTGGAAGTACCCTTGAGAATATTTCTAGAGGAACAATGGGGAAGAAACCCTGCTAGAAAGGGTGCCCAACAGTGGGAGAGTCGAGGAAATGAAGACAGGCCATTATGGCAGGGTCTCCAAAAATGTCTACATCCTAATACCTGGCATCTGTGAATACTTAGGTTACACGGACAAGGGGAATTAAGGCTGCTGACGGGGATTATTCTGGATTATCCACGCAGACCCAATGTAATCACAAGGATACTTAAAAGTGGAAGAGGGTAGGGCTTCCCTGGTGGCACAGTGGTTGAGAGTCCGCCTGCCGATGCAGGGGGACGCGGGTTCGTGTCCCGGTCCGGGAAGATCCCACATGCCGCGGAGCGGCTGGGCCCGTGAGCCGTGGCCAATGAGCCTGCGCGTCCGGAGCCTGTGCTCCGCAACGGGAGAGGCCGCAACAGTGAGAGGCCCGCGTACAAAAAAAAAAAAAAAAAAAGTGGAAGAGGGTATTGGAAGAGAGAACCAGAGAGAGGGCAGCATGAGAAAGACCAAGCTCCATGTTGCTGGCTTTGATGTCGGAGGGAGGGGCCGTGAGCCAAGAGATGTGAGCAGCCTCCAGAAGCTGTAAAGGGCAAGGACACAAATTTTCCCCTAGAGCCTCCGGAACGAACACAGTCCTATTGACACCTTGATTTCAGCCATGTGAAACCCCTTTTGGACCTCTGAACTGCAGAACTACAAGATAATAAATTTGTGTTGTTTCAAGCCATAGAGTTTGTGCTAATTTGATAGGCAGCAATACACTGACATATAGCCATCACTTCCATGGAATTTCACTGTAAAGGCAGCATCAAAGTAATATTTTTAAATCTTTACAACCTACAAGATAAACATTATGATCTCCATTTTAACAAAGAAGAAACTGAGACAGAGATCAATAACTTGCCCAAGGACATGCAGCTCGTTAAGTGACAGCAGCTGAATTCAAACCCAGGTTTGTCAGATCCCTAAGCCACAGAGATGTCTATCCATTATAGGGGTGGTCTTCACCCCAAGACCTCAGGTTTGGCAGACGTACAAGTCAGGCTGCCACTTGGGTAGGAAGGAAGAGGGGTGAGGAGGGCTCCAGACTGCTCATCGTAGCCCCCAAGCCCACCCCCACCCAGAGCGACTCAGATCTTCGATTTCATACACTGGGCATTTATGCAAGATTTCATTTGAAGAATTCCACTGATTAAAAACTCAATAGACATACAACTTGAAAATCCCCGCAGGACACAACGCTGTCTTTCTCCTTCCAGGAGACTCAGGGCTTCTCCTAGTGAGCTGGGACCAGGATGGGCATGAGCAAACCAGGATGGGCATGAGCAGCGTGCAATGCTCCGTCTCCTGCAAGTCCCATGCCCTCTATGACCACCATGAAGCCCGACCTACTCGGGCAGGGCAAGTAGCCAGATGTCAGTCTGGGTAACTCAGCCCTGGCCTCAGAGACCATGGACAGCTTAGTCTTTGGCTTAAAAATAATCAGCCAAGAGCGGGGTTGGCAAACTCTCTCTGTAAAGGGCCGGACAGTAAATATCTGTGGTTTGTGAGCCACATGGTCCCTGTGGCAACTAGCTGACTCTGCCCTAGACAGTACATAAGGAATGAGTGTGGCTGTGTTTCCATAAACTTTATATAGAAAAACGGGCAGCAGGCCAGACTTCTGGCCTATGGGCCATAGTTTGCTGATTGCTGACCAAGAACATAAAAAAAAAAATGAAGAACGGTACCTTTATTGTTGTATTTATTCAAGTCCCCTATAACACAGGCACCCATCCTAAAAAGGGAGATTGTTTCTCCCAGTTATGGTAGGCAGGCAAAGATCTTAAAATCAAGAAAGAGCTATGAGGCCCTGAGTAGGAATTAGATACTAAGTATAACGTCAAGACACAAGAAATACAAAAACAATAACCATATGCAAGTTTGGTTAGAATCTTCGGTATGGTTTAAATTACCTATTTTCTTATTACCACTGAAGGAAATTAAATTTTAAGTTTCGTAGGAAAAGGTATAAAATTTAATTATGCAGCTATTCTTATCCAAGATTTTTTCCTCAACAACCCCACCTGCTGGGGATTGGCTATGATCCCATCCAGCTAACTGCTCAAAGACACACTTTCTCAGCAGCAAGATGCCAGCGAACCAGCACATGGCCCAAGCCACCTGGCTTCCTGGGGAAGGCCTCCTCAAGGGCTTTCGTGCTCACTATTCTTCTGGGTACTATATGCAGGCGGAAGGGAGAGCACAGAGTCTACTGCACAATCAGGAGGAAAAGGGGTCAGACTGGAATTTTACCAACAAAAAAAACTACTGGGTCCCTGGCCGTGCTCTGCTCAAGCAGCCTACGACCCAGCGGTGACCACTGGCCATGCCTTCCACTTTTGCTCTAGAGAAGTCAGTGGTTACTGAATTCATAATTCATTCCTGTTGCACTTGGATTATAGTTGGAGACAGGTGATTTGGAAAATGAACTTAACATTTCCTCAGCTCACTTCCGCAGCTAAAAACTACCAAATGTCCTTTAAGAAGCCCCCCCGCCCCACCCTGTGCTGGCTAGCTGGAATGAGAGCCACTTGCCCCCAGCCTCTTGGGTACGTTTGCCGGGGACCATTACACAAACCTCAAACCAAACCTGTCTCAGGAAAGGCACCCACAAAAGCAGGCCCGTACCTTCAATGTGAACTCGTATGCTGGCCTCCCGATCCTGTCCTCAGCCTCCAAGCTGTACTCCCGCGCCAGGGGCACCGTCGGGTGGTACAGGCGCCAGTGTTTCTCTCCCTCCAGCTGCAGGATGAAAACCTACAGGAAGCACAGGACCCCGGAGTGTCAGAGAGCCTCCAGACAACTCATGAGGCAAAGTGCTTCTAGAGTGTTAGCCCTCTCAGGGCTTAGATGAATCACAAATTTCAGATAAAAAAATAAAAATAAAAGATCACAGATACATTTCACTATACACTTAAAGTTGCCACTACTGGTATTCACTTTTAAAAACAGGTAATCGTGAAGTCTGACACTGGAGGGCTAGTCATTCTTTTCACTTTCATGAAAACCTCACTGAGTTCTTTATATCCCAATATCTATCCCACTATCTCATTCTTTTAAATCTTCCATCAGGCAGCTGAAAGCCCATAATCTCTGACGGAAAAGCCAAGCTTCAGATATTACTGAGTGTCTAAAATCCTGAATACAATCCTTGGCACATAGGAAAATGTCAAGTTTTTTTATTCTTCATTCAACCAAAGATATTTTAAAGTTCTGTTAGAAATATATATTTTTAAATGTATTTATTTTATTTATTTATTTTTGGCTGCGTTGGGTCTTCACTGCTGCACGCGAGCTTTCTCTAGTTGCAGCAAGCTGGGGCCACTCTTTGTTGTGGTGCGCAGGCTTATTGCGGCTTCTCTTGTTGCGGAGCACAGGCAATAGGTGTGTGGGGTTCAGTAGTTGCAGCACGTGGGCTCAGTAGTTGCGGCATGTGGGCTCAGTAGTTGTGGCTCGCGGGCTTAGCTGCTCCGCGGCATGTGGGATCTTCCCAGACCAGGGCTCAAACCCTTGTCCCCTACATTGGCAGGTGGATTCTTAACCACTGTGCCACCGGGGAAGCCCTATTAGAAATATTTTTTTAAAATTTTTTTGGAAACTGTATTGATATCAAATTGCTCTCAAAGGAGGGGAAAAAAAGAGGTTTTTTACTAATAACTCTGTGTTCACACATTGTCTTGGTACAAAAATAAAACTATGAAATACCTAAGCCAAAGGGTTAACTCTTTTTGGCAGCCACATGAGAATGAAATCAACACTTGTCAAGGCGCCAGTGCTTAAGTGAAACCATGACCTTCATTCAAGCTGCCCCAAGATCTTCACAAATGGAAAAAATATATACTTTTGGTAGCTACAGAAAAAGGACAAAAGAAAGCAGATGTAAGAATTACTTAAGACCTCACCTTATTAAAGACCATACATTATAAAATTAAAGAAAAAGCCAATCACACTTTTCTGTAGAAAATTCAAAAAACACCTATTTCGGAGGAATGTGTGGCTCTTTATATTAGTAAATAAACAACCTCCCCTTTCTGAAGGAGCAGGAAACCAGTTTGATGGGATTAATTTTGGCCCAACATCCCGGTGACTGAGGTCAAGCTCTGCAGAGCCCGCACAGGAAGAGTTGGCAGAGACCCGGCCCGAGAGCTGAACTGAACCCTGACAACCCACTAACCCGGGCTGGCAGCAACTCGTCCTCCCGGAGCCGAGCAGTTTCCTCCCCCCTCACCTCTACGTCATCATAATGGGGCGGCAGGCCCTGAGAACCCGCAGGGGTTATGTATACATTCGAGCCAACCAACGAGCCAAAGTAGCACTCCAGCTTCTCCTGGATCCTCCAAAGCTCATCCTTTAAAAAAAAAAAAAAAAAGATGGAGGGGAAAGAGGTGAAAAATACATTAGAAACAAGGAATATGTTCTTATGCGCTCAGCAAGTCTTTATCGCACAGCTATTATGTTCCAGACACCTGGAATTCAACGGTGCCCAAGCCAGCGCCTCTGTCCTCAGGACCCTTCCGTCCTCGTGCAGAACAGCACAGAGAAGAGGCAGCAGCAGACGAGACTGGAGAGGCAGGCAACAGGGAGTCATAGGATCTTAAGCAGGACAAGGACAGGATCCAACGCACACTTATAAAAGCTCACTCAGGCTGCGGTGTGGGGAACTGATCGTAGAAAAGCAAGAGAGAGCCGTGGGGAAGCTACGAAGGCAGCAGCGTAGGCTGGGAGTGAGCAGGGTGGTGGGCGAGGGAGAGAGAAATAGAAAAGTCGAGATGCGCTCAGAAAGCAGCACTGACGGGACATGCTGATGGCTGGGGTATGGGAGTGGGGAGAATAAATCAGAGAAACATTCTTGGGTTTTTGACTGAGGCAGTTAGTCAGCTCCCAGTTCCACTGAAATGGGAAAGATCTGCTAAAGAACAAGCTTTCAGGGGGGAGAAAAGAAAAGCCGCACATTAGCAGTGTTAAGTGTGAGCTGCTAAGACCGCCGTGTGCTGGCTGGCTAAGTCTGAAGTTCTGGCAAGACGAAGAGCTAGGGGATACATCTGGGAACTGCCTGCACAAAAGGGTACTCAGAGCAATGGAAGCAGAAATGACTACCTAGGAAGGGGGTACAGACAGCGAAGGGGTAAACAGGGTCGAGGAATGCTCCCTTTCTCCAGTCGCTAATCAGCTCTTCAGGGCCTAAGTTGAACTGAGGGGCCTAGAGAGGAGCCACACATCCCTGCAAGGAAGAAACCTGACTGTCCCGAGGCAGGTGAGAGAGGAGAGGCAGCAGTTAGGCCACGTAGGTATCGGCACTTCCTATGTGCCAGGCACTGTTTCCAAGTGCTTTCCTACTTCAGTTGTACAACCCTCCCCGCCACCCCGTCTCATAGGGTGGGTCCTACCAATGAGGAAATGCCAATGAGGAAACGGGCACGAGAACACACAGCCAATGAATGATGGAGCCAGGATTCAAATCCATGCAGCCTGGCTCCGGAGCCCACACCTTTAACCATGACTCTATATTGCCCCTCTAAGGAACTACCTTAAAGAAGTCACCTACCAAGAACACTGCAGAGCCCCTTCAAGCACATGCATATACAGTGCCTGCCACACACAAGACACTGAAACATCGAAAGTATCTGCTGAGTAAACCAGTGACCACAGCTTGGGAGTCAATCCTACCACTGGACGGAAAAACACCAAAAAATAACAAAAAAAACTACAGTATTAAAAATGCCAAGTGGGAAAGAATTGGGTCAGCATGAAAAAAGCTTTGGGAGACATCTTCAGTATAGACCACTGAACTTCTCTACTTACACATCTCAGGCAACACAGGAAGAATGATTTTATGGCATCTGAATAGCTCCCGAGAGTTAAGAGATCTCCCAAGCTGCCTAATTTATACCTGGGAGGGGCCAGCAGGACCTGGCCCTGTAATTACATTTATACAGTAACTAGAACCAGTTTCTCTCTTGCTCTTTCTCTCTGTCTCTGATGGCCTGAGAGGTGTTTCAGGACCATATGGGTGACTTTATGGCCCCCAACTCAAGCTTCTGGGTCTGTAATTGAGGAGTACATGTCTCTTTTCTTCTTAAAAGTTACTGAAGGGCTTCCCTCGTGGCGCACTGGTTAAGAATCTGCCTGCCAATGCAGGGGACACGGGTTCGAGCCCTGGTCCGGGAAGACCCACATGCCGTGGAGCAACGAAGCCCGTGCGCCACAACTACTGAGCCTGCACTCTAGAGCCCGCGAGCCACAACTACTGAAGCCCGTGCGCCTACAGCCCGTGCTCCACAATAAGAGAAGCCACCGCGATGAGAAGCCTGCGCACCACAATGAAGAGTAGCCCCTGCTCGCCGCAACCAGAGAAAGCCCGCGCGCAGCAACAAAGACCCAACACAGCCAAAAATAAAATAAAATAAATAAATTAAAAAAAAAAAAAGTTACTGAAAACCCCATCATTTGTACAATTTTTCTATCTCTCCTGGAAACAGAACCTTTAGCTTCTCAATCTGCCCAGTGTGGCCCACTAGAAAGGGATCTGGAGTCAAATCACCACCGACCAAGTTGTAGGTACAAGTCAGCTTCTTTATTTGCAAAGGAAGACTCCCACCCTAAGACTGTGGGAAACAGCATATTTATCTCAAAGCCTATTTACATTGCAAAGCAATGTACAACTGTTACAGCTTCACCAGTGCTGACTCTGGCACAAACAAGGCTCCTGAAATCTGTCTCCTTTGACTCGTGACTCCCAACTATGTCTGGAGATGCCAAGGAGGACCCCAGAACAATGGGAAAGGGAAAGGGAAAGAGGAGGCTCCTCCTCTCTCCACTGACCTATCTGCAGGCTCAGCTGAACACAACAGCTAAGACCAGAAGCCCACACTCACACCTAAAGGTGAAAGCAAACATGCCCAAAGCCCTACTACATTTCAGTTAATATCTTTAGATATATGGTTAGGAAAATGCTTTAATTTTGGAATCAGAAGTCCTTACTTAGTAGCTATGGAAAAGTCACATCTGTGAACTCGTTTTTTCCATGTAAAATGGAGACCACAGTGATTGCCCCAATTATTTCAAATGTCTGTTGGAGAGTGCAAAAGTGAACACATGTAAATATCTGGTAAACTCATCTGGACTCCTGATACACGGATTACCCAGAGCAGAGGGGGAACAACCCACCACTCTCTGGTTACCTCCTTACTCATTTCCAGACAAACTAGAATAATAAACTGTGCACACGGTGTGACCTGATAAAGAAAGGGCTGACTGTTCACTCTGATAGTCTCTCAATCTGGCCAATGAGGAACTGCCTCTATACTTTCTCTACCCTGATACCAACATATCCATTAGTAAACACACACACAACACTAAATCTGGTCACAATATAATACTTGGAACCCAGCTTCTAGTGTAAAAGGGTGAGCTCCTGAGGCCTAACAGATTTCTCAAGTCCTCGTGGTGGAAAAAACCAAGCAAAACAGGATACATCCTAGTCTAGCCCGGGGGCTGCGTTGAGATGGGAAAGCTCATCCTTCCTGCTTTAATAAACATGGCTAGAGAGCTGAGTCAACAGGGCAAAGGAAACACAGTCTTGGCCACTTGAAACTGGGGAAGAGGAACATGCAGCACTTAAGCAGACGAGCAGAGAAGAGCCCAAGATGATTCTACAGCACAAAAATGACAGCCACAGAGGACACCACACATATGCCAAACAATAACTTTCTGCTGGTCTGTGAACAAATTACATAATCAACATCAGTGATCTTTTCTATTCATACTTCTTAGGTGTCTAAAAACCACTCTTTTAAAAAACAGTGCTGCTTCTAGCTAAGTAAAGAGTCAAGGACAAGCTCAGAGTGAAGTACCTCCGTGTCCATATTTTCTGAATACACATCATGACTTGGTCTGCAAGTGATTTATAAATTCCTTTTGGGTGCTAGGGACAAAAGGCTGGCATTCAAAGGACATTTCAACTGCTCATGATTGCCTCACTCCTTTGGAATGAGTGCTTGTACTGAAAAGTCTAAGAGTACTTGTACTTTATCCAGAGTACAAATAGGTTCAGGATCCTGCAGACAAGAAAGGGAAAGGCATTCAACAGATGAGAGAGGCCTAATGGATCTAACAGGGCAACTCGAGTTCCGTCGTGAGAAGCATTACTGGTAATTGATGACAAAGTCCTAGGAGCCACCACACAGCCAGAAGCCACCCGGTCAGTGTGGAACTTCACGTGCTGCTCTCCTCCTCCTAGGCTGACATTTTGATTCAGCCATGGGTCACAGAAGGGCATTTCTGAATGGGGATAAACTTTATCTAAAACTCAGAATGGGCCCTCAATTGTTCTGGGCCACCTGTCACATAAAGATCTCATGCCTCTAAGAGCAGATTAGCTCATCCTAAGTCTACATTTTATAAACAGAGAAACTGAGCACAGAGGAGGCAAATTATTTCTCAAATGTCAACCACTGATGCAGAATAAAAGGTTAGCCAGTCTTCCCGACTTGCAAATCCAACCTACCCTCCACCTGCGAATGCCCCCCCAGCAGCAGTTCCAGGACCCTGCCCCTCAGTGCCAGGCGGGCTACTGTTAATAAGGGTGAAGTCTCTTTCTTAAACGTGCCTCTGGTGCCTATGTGGTCTGGTCACTGCTCAGAAGCCTCTACTTAGGTAGATGTAGGCAGTAGAGGGAGGCAACTTTAAGGAAAAAATGATCACCTTGACACTATCGTGCCTTAAGTTACAGTGAAGGAACAAGCCAAACAGAAATGTCTACCATGTGTCAAAACATAAACCAGCCCACGGAAATGCTCCTGGAGGTGTAACGTCACTTTAACAAACTTTATAAACCTGACGTATAATTTAGTTTTTGCAGCTCACCACGTCCAGCCTGAGTTGTTGCAGATTCTAACAGTTTAGCCAAAAGGGAACATAAAGTCACTGAAGTTGTAATGCATTTGAAGACCAAACAGGTGCTACCTCTTCCCAAACTGGCAGCAGCCTCATCATCATCAAAACAGATTTACCCCCGAGCTGATCTATGGCCAAATGGTAGCACTTTAATACACACCAGGATTCTGCACTGGGGAGAACCTGTTACCTTAAATCTCTGAGGTTGGTGAAACTGAATTGTTGCCCTTTTCTGATCAAAATCTTTTCTCAGCTGAAGAAAGTGCACTTTGCCATCTTTATTTAAAACCTTCTTCTTCCCATTGACACACCGGCAGACATTTACGTCTCTTCCATAGTACATACCCCGGCTGCACAGACTCTTCAGATCTGAGAGCCTGAACAGGGACCGGTAATATGTGGCCAGCACAGGGTCATCTCTCTGGATAAGAAGGGGCTTCTGCTCCCAGAATTCCTTGAAAAAAGTCTCTGTCTTGACGGGCGAGATCAAACTTTCAAAGAGGCCACTGGGACTGTCAAGGTTCAAAGGGGAAGGCCCACCAGCTGCCTCCAGCTTCACCTGCTTACAGGGAACAGGCCCCTCTTCCTTCCCATCCCCTGCAGGCTTCACTTTCTTTGGCATCGTTGTCTTCAAGACAAGGCAGTGAGGAAAAGCAAACCTGCCAAAAAGAAGAAAACACTCGTGATTAGGCGTCCCAGTTTCGGTGTCAGAGGATCTCATACACACAACTTGCATGACTATTAGGCCTTTGTGCGAACTCTTCCTAAACCAAGGCCATTTCTACCAGAAGAAGATACAGCCTGAAGCCAACACCATTTCTTCCAGGATATGATTCAGCCTCAAACACTATGCAGATCACATATTGGCAGAAAGGAAGGCGTGTTTTTCTTGTACACGAGCACTAAGTCGTGGAATTCATCACTTATCGGAAGGTATAATTATCCCAAATTAAATGATTCAACGATCTCAGCAGTTCCTAGTCACAGTTTTTAGCCTGTGGCCACTGACACAGCAAAGTTGAAATCTTAAAGTTGGCTTTAATCAGCACCAGATCCCAAATCTAATTAGATGCACTCTGAGTTATAAATACTTGACTCAAGAGCTGCCCACGGCCAGGTGCTCCTCACCAAAGCACTACCCCCAGCTGCTGTCCTGGAGGCCACCTGGGCCAGAGGTGCCACCTGACGGCTGGGGCAAGAAGATGCCTGCTCCCAGGTCCTTAACCACCTGAATTGCCTCACTTCCAAACCTCAGCTTATTCCTAAAAATTGCCACTTTATCAGAAAAATTAAAATAAAGCAGAAAACTAATTGGGGGCTGAAAGTGAAGGGTAAAGATAGTTATATCTCAAGGCTTTTAAAAGCTCTACCTTTTTAACTAAAATAAGACATAATAAAATGGCAACGTCATTAACTTCTAACAAAGCTCTCCTCCTTCCAGCCTTCACGTGCACACACATCCCCTGGGCGCCTAGGGCTCGGGTGGGACTTGAGATTCTGCATGTCTAACAAGCCCACAGGTAGTGACGCTACTGCTGGGCCACAGACCACACTTGAGTAGCAAGAGAATTGACTCCCCTGAGTATTGCCAAAGGTCTCTCAGAACTGCCTCAAATCACAACTGTCGTCACGTTTACAATGCAGGTGTCCTGCATCTGGAGTTCAAGAATGTATGAATTTAAATTATATGAATTTCCTGAAACTGCAAAATGCTATTTTAAAATCAATTTTTTTTCTGGGAAAGGGGGTAGGTCCATTGCTTTTACCAGATTTTTGAAAGAGTCCCCATCCCCAAAAAAGGTTAAGAACCACTGTGCTTATAAAAACCAATTTTTCCCAGAGACCAGTAACTTATTTATAAATGTCATGCTTTTCTATTTTGTTGGGCTATCAGAATTGCAAGCACACTGTTTTCTGCTCTTTTGTCATTATAACTAAGCTGTATTTCAGCTACACTATAGACTGAGTAGAATTAATGGTCTGGCCTGGGAAGTAGGCACCTGAACAATGTGTTACACATTGCAACAACTAACTTACAAATTTATAATTGATAAATTCAGAATAAACCTAGAAAATAAATTTAGAATTAATCCCTCTGTCTAGTGTACCCTGACCATTAGTCACTTAGTGGCCGTCTTGGAGATCAGATTGACTGTCCTAGTATCAGAAAGCTTGTCTTCCGGTGACCCTTATTTTACTTGATAATGATGGCCCCAAAGTCCAAGAGTAATGATGCTGGCAATTCGGATATTCTCTTACTGTGCCTAATTTATAAATTAAACTTGGTTATAGCTATCTGGGAATAGGGAAAAAGCACAGTATATACAGACTTCCGTACCATCCACGATTTCAGGCATCCACTGGGTGTCTTGGGACGTTGTCAGCCGTGGATAAGGGGGTGCTACTGTTTAAAACTCTCTAGGGGCCTCATTTTAGCTTCTAAATATTGTACCCACAAATAGCTCAGTTCCTTCAAAAGGGCCAATGCTTTGGGCAGGAAACACAGGTCCATAGTATAAAACTAATACAAATTGATACTAAAAGCTTGCATTGAAGGGGTAAGGGCTTAAGCTTTTTTCTTAAACTTTGGGGAAAAAAACTTTAATGTCTTAGGATATATCATCAATGAGACACATTTTCTGAAAATGTTTCTTATTCTTTTTAAGTTAAACAGACCAGCGTGCTTTCTCAACTGAAGAATCAAAGCTTCAGTGAGACAAAGTACTGCTAGTACTTGGAGCCCAGAAGTGATGAAGAAATACAAGAGATACGAAAACAGATTCAGTAGACAGCATTGCTTGTGCAGAAAAGAGCCACCTGCTATCCTTTGAAAGGTCAGCATGTGGTGGATGTCAGGTCTGGGAACTTAGATTTCAGATGTGTTCCCACCACCATTAACTGAAAAGAGGGACTCACTGTGTCTAAGCTGTTTGGACAAACAATGCAGGTTATACTGAACACCCGCATTCCTTCTGGGTGTCTGGAATTTTGATACATGCCAGCCAGAAGGTCCTACATGATGAGCCCCCAATAAAACCCTGGGCACTGAGTGTCTAATGAGCTTCCCTGGTTGGCAGCATTTCACACATGTTGTCACAACTAGCTGCTGCAGCAATGAAGCACTTGGTCTCCATCTGCTGTAATAAATCAGCTGTGAGTCCTAGCAAATCACTAACCCTGGGGATGGTGTTGGGGAAGCGGGATACAATGCTCACATTTAATTGTTAAAAACTGTTAGGTTGCCTCAGAAGGTTTGCATGATTAAAGGTGTTTATTAATGGAAAAGTAATTTCATATTCAGCTACACATTTCTTATCCCTTACAATTGGTCAGTTTAAAATTTATTTAAGGGATGGGAGCAGCAGGAAGATGCAAACAAAAGGCTTGTTTTCCTTAAGCACAGTATATGAATACAGTATAAGCATATTCACCAGGAAGTGTGGTGAAACAATGTGTGCAAAATACTTAAGCCAAAAATAAAATCACTTGAAGCATATTTCCCATCTACAATCAGTAACAAAATAAATCCCAACAGTGCATAACGAATGCTTTTGTTAGACTATGAATTTCACTACTTTTACTGCCAAAAGTTACATCATTTATTGTTTCTATGTGTTCATTTTGAAATGATTTGAGGCTCAGTTAATTGGAACGTAGATTAGTGGTTATTAGGCAAACATACTATTTCTCTGATTCTCACATTGCCCATACTGTAAGACAACCATTCTTTTTAACAGCTTTTGGGAGGTTGAGAGAACAGATGACATACTCCACCACATTAAACTTACAAAATAGTAAGCTGCATCACAATTTCAGAAACATTAAAAATGAAAAAAGCAAAAAGTGTGTTTTGTAATGTTAAGAAATATAGGAACTAAACAAGAGAATGCTTTGTCTGGAAAAGTACAGCCAACACTAGCCTGCCTCTGAATCTCACAGACCACCCAAACAGAAGTTAAGAGTAAATATTTTCATAAGCTACAGGGGGAAAAAAAGCAAGCGTTTAAAAAGCAATTGTTTCCAACTTAAGTTGACCACAGCATTCAAATGTAAAAAGATTAAGTTAAAAGATTCAAGGTTCATATTTTACTAACTGCCCACAGATGAAAACCAGCAACTAATCTAAACAACTTTGAAGGATTAAACTCCACAAGAAAATCAATAGTGATACCCATTCTACAGGCAACAAATACAAACAAAGCCTTTATATTTTTAAGTGTCCTAACTTCCTTTTCTATGGTAATATTCACTGACCAGAAGTCTTAACACAGAGCAACTATCTGCACATTTTCAGAGCCTAGCACAGACCAGGGCACATAGGAGGTCCTCAATAAACATTTGCTGAATTTTTTTCCCCTTTTCATCTTTTGTATACAATTTTAGAGGAAAAAAATCTCAAAAGCCTTACACAAAACAGAGTTAGGGGAAAACAGATGGTTTGTTCAGTGGGGATTATTCTTGGATGGCAGCTGTAGCTTGAGTATTCAACAGTACGGTCAGAGCTGAAAGGCACCTTAGCCATCAGAGGTCATTACCAACCAGGAGAGGGAGGTGTGTCTTTATAAGCTCCAGAGCTGTGTTTTACAAAGTGTAGTCAAATCACCAGGAAAGCTTGTTAGTATGCAAATTTATGGGCCCCACATCAAACCTACTGGACCAACACTTCTGGTAGCTGAGCCCAGAAATCTGCAGTAACACAGTTTAAAAGAAGTTAAAAAAGAAAATTAACAGTTCTCAGCAGGAGAATTTTAGATCCACTAACATAGAGGAGGATCATAGGCAAACTCAGCTCAGTTAGACACACACAAACTGACAGAAACGATATATTGCCTGTAACAAGTTTGCCTAGGCTGACTTAAAATATTTCCTTTGGGCCCTCATTGATGTTTACCAGTTCAGAGAGGGAAAAGTGGTTCTCCTGTTGACCTAAAGCTGTGATTGGCACTTATCTTTTTAATTCTATTTTAGAAATAATGTATTGAACCTCATTAAAGTATTTTAGTAACCCTGAGGTTACAAAGGATGAGGGCAGAGAGGCAAAACTATCCAAGCGATGGTGTTAGAAGCTGGATAAATCAGGCTTTTCCACTTAAAGATGAGCCCAGTGAAATCAAAGGCCCGGCGCCGAATTTACAGCTGATTATTGGAGTAATCAGAGCCTGCCACTCCCAGGCCAATACTTCCTTAAAACACAGTGAACCACCTGGTCTCATTAACCTGATGGACAACCCAACAGTCGAGCAGCCGTTCTAGAAATATTCGGTGACAAATGAAAGAAAGGGAGGGTAGAATGTCATTTTAAAGTTACGGTGGGGAGAGAAAGACGCAGCTCTCCCGCCCGCACTTCAGGTTTTGCTGCCATAAAGCCGGTCTCCTAGGCCCGCCCGGCCGCCCGGGAGGACAGCCCACGTGGCGCTCCCATACAGCCCGCCGAGCGGGGCCAAGGCCTGCATCACCCTCCCTGCAAACCTCCAAACTTTCCGTGTGCTCGTCCCGTCTCAATACCACCGGCCGAGCACGTGGTTACTCTTGGTGCCCAGGCCATCCGCAATCCTGGGCGGCACCACACCCAGCGTGTCCACTATTCCAGTGCCCGGGATCGTCGAGCGCGTCGGCGCGCGTCCCCCGTCCCGAAACCAACAGAGCCCGCTGGCCGTGGCCCGGCCTTACCGAAGCTCTCGGCCCGAGCCCTGCGGTCCCCCCCCCCCACCCCGACCTTGCTCCATCCACACTCGCGCCTGGACGCCCGGAAGTTGAGCACCACCCCACATTGCAGTGGCGGGGACGGAGAGCCGAGACCACTCCACTCACCGGTCTCTGCGTGGGGCGCGCGGCCGCGAGCCAAGCGGGCGGCGGCGTGGGTTGGGGGCGGGGCAGCGCAGAGCGGCGCGACGTGAGCACGCTCCGGCGGCCCCTCCTGCTGAGCGCCCTTCTCCCCGCCCGCCGCCGGCCCGCAGCGGGTGGGAGGGGGCTTGCTTCTAGCTCCGGGATGCAGGGGTATGTTGGGAGTTCAAGCCCGCACATTTTCTTCTCTGGTGCAAAAAGAAATAAATGAGGGTTTTTCTTGAATTGGGGCGGGATGAGGCTCAGGATTTGGGGACGTGCTCTAGTACCGCACTGTTCGTTTAATGAATGGAGAAACTGAAGCCCGGAGGGAGTAAGTGAGCTGCCCAGGTTTAGGGAGCTAGCGGTCCAGGTTCTCCATCGCTGTCCTTTGGGGCTCTCTGCTACACTGTGCTGCTTTGTACTAAGTCAACTATAATTACTATCGTGTTGCTCCCGGAGAGAGAATTAATCCTGATTTTAAAGGATGCTGGAAATTCTTGCTACTGTGCCTGTAGAAGAAAAGAGTAAAAGTAATTATTTGAGTAATTTCGGCCTAACACTCTCTCCTTTTGACTCATTATCAGGACTTTTGGGTGGGGAGGCTGGCTGAAAGGAGTTGTCAGGGGATCAATTGCTCACCTCTGCTCTGGCATGTGCGTTTCATAGCTCTGTACACAGGCAGAGGGGTCACAAAGAAAGTCCTTATTTCATTCTGTTAATATGATTGAAACCAGAAGCTCTTTCTGATGATCAAGGGACACATGAGCAAATGGGAACAAAGTTTACCCTTACCCAACACTTGTCCAAACTAACAATAATCGCAGCCAGTAACGAATATTTCTAAAAATGAATGCATAAACTGTGATGAAATAATTTGTATAGGAGTAAATCTAATGGGATTTTCACTTGAAATTTCACTTAATGCCCCAAAACAGGAGACAATCATAATACTTTTGTTGAGCACCTACCGTTTTCCAGGCACTTTTTAAAATATGTACTCAAACTTACTAATCCATACAAAAATCTATGAGAAGGATGCTACAGTTATCCTCATTTTACATGTGAGGAAAATGAGGCACCAAGAGACTAAGTTATTAGTCAAAGGTCACAGAGTACACGGGTCAGAATGGCCATCATCAAAAAATCTACAAACAATAAATGCTGGAGAGGGTGTGGAGAAAAGGGAACCCTCTCGCACTGTTGGTGGGAATGTAAATTGATACAGCCACTATGGAGAACAGTATGGAGGTTCCTTAAAAAACTAAAATTAGAACTACCATATGACCCAGCAATCCCACTAGGGGGCATATACCCTGAGAAAACCATAATCAAAAGGAGTCATGTACCACAATATTCATTGCAGCTCTATTTACAATAGCCAGGACATGGAAGCAACCTAAGTGTCCATCGACAGATGAATAGATAAAGAAGATGTGGCACATATATACAATGGAATATTACTCAGCCATAAAAAGAAACGAACTTGAGTTATTTTTAGTGAGGTGGATGGACCTAGAGTCTGTCAGAGTGAAGTTAAGTCAGAGAGAGAAAAACAAATACTGTACGCTAACACATATATATGGAATCTAAAAAAAAAAGGTTCTGATGAACCTAGGGACAGGACAGGAATAAAGACAGACGTAGAGAATGGGCTTGAGGACATGGGAAGGGGAAAGGTAAGCTGGGACGATGTGAGAGAGTAGCATGGACTTATATACACTACCAAATGTAAAATAGCTAGTGGGAAGCAGCTGCATAGCACAGGGAGATCAGCTCTGTGCTTTGCAACCACCTAGATGGGTGGGATAGGGAGGGTGGGAGGGAGACGCAAGAGGGAGGGGATATGGGGATATATGTATGCATTTAGCTGATTCACTTTGTTATACAACAGAAACTAACAACACTGTAAAGCAATTATACTCCAATAAAGATGTTTTTAAAAAAAAAGTTCTCAGAGTAATAAGAGGTAGAACCAAGATTTTAATCTAGTCAGTCTGGCTTTAGAAGAGGCTTTCTTAATCTGGGCATTACTGACATTTGGGGCCAATAATTCTTTCTCGTATGGGGCTGACCTACGCATTGTAGCAGCACCCCCAGCCTCTACCCTTTAGATGCCAGTAGTGCCAGCACCCAATTTGTGACAGCCTAAAATGTCTCTAGACCCTCCATAATTTCTCTGTGGGGAACTACTGTGTTAGTAGTAACCCCTACCCAGCTTTTAACCTCACACTATGCTGCAGTTACATTCCGCACTTCTCAAGAGGAGGTGCTCAACGTTGCCCTATAGGACTCACTAAAATAGGTTCCATGACCATCACCCACATTCAGAGTATGTAAAGAGAAGACTGGAAATTGAAGGGCAATCTGTGGCAGTAGGGAATATATGGGAATAGAAGATCATCAGACTAGTGGAGATTGCTGTAGCATTTCTCCTCCTCCCCCAAGCCAAGTGACAGGGACTGCAGAGCCCATCAGAGAGAATGGGGGCATCTGCAGAGGAGTACCTGACCTGCTGCTTGCTGAGCTGTGAACCTTCTGGTCTGTGCTGGGGCTGCTATCAAAGAAGAGCCCGGTGTAGTTACAAAGTTCTTGGATCCCTGAGACATGGCTGTGGGAGCTGGGGGATGGTTTGTGGACAGAGACAAGTGGCTGCTTCTTGCTGGGAGGATCCTGAAGGAGGTGGTACTCTGAGGCCAAAAGGCAGCATGAGGCAACTGCTCTAACACCCTTTGTCTTGTCAAGGACCCTTGAGTATCCTCTGGGTGGAGGGGGTGCTGTGGAAAGTATCAATACTTGGGCTTGGTCCATCGGGAGGTACCCTGCCAAAGAGAGTGACATAGCAGCTGATGAAGGCCAAGCATTAGGAGGCAGTGGGGTCCACTGGCATGGACAGGAAAGGAGGTATGGGGCCACAGGAGGTCAGTCAGAGATCTCAAGTTTAATTTTAATGCAGCCCAGTGTGTAGACCTCCAAAAGAACCTTCACCTGCATCCCTTGTAAACTTCAACATTTGAACACCCGTTATCAAGGCCAGCTACATAATTGGTGGGGCTCAGTGTGAAATGAAAACGTGGAGCTCCTTGTTCCAAAGGTAGGGGAAAAGTGTCATTAAAGGTTCTAAGGGGGCTTCCCTGGTGGCGCAGTGGTTGAGAGTCCGCCTGCCGATGCAGGGGACACGGGTTCGTGCCCCAGTCCGGGAAGATACCACATGCCACGGAGCGGCTGGGCCCATGAGCCATGGCCGCTGAGCCTGCGCGTCCGGAGCCTGTGCTCCGCAACAGGAGAGGCCACAGCGGTGAGAGGCCCGCATACCGCAAAAAAAAAAAAAATGTTCTAAGGTATAAAATGGTTCCTTTCCTTTGCAGCCTCTCTCTTCACTATGATGGTGGTGTTTTCAACTTGCTATTTAGTGTCATGCTCTAGGGAGCACAGGAATACTTGAAAGGTGAGTGCAGACATTCAGGAGCACTGGAGGGCCCTTCCGTGCCACTTGGACCCGTGTATGCACAGGAGCACCTGTCCCACAGGCTGTCGAGGTCTCCCATCTGCTGAACACACCAAGGTGCTACCTGCCCAGGGCGGTTACAGGGTGTGGGATGTGCGCCCCGACCCAACCCACCCTGCATCTGTGAGGCTTCAGACAGGGGCAGAGGGCAGCCGTGGGCTTCGGGCGGGGCAGGGAGAGGGGGCCAGGAAAGCGAGGTCCAGAACCCATCTCACAGGGAGGGAGGCAGAGCTGCACAAAAGACTTCACTTAAAAATCAAATTCAGATTACATTATTAACAACTATAAGATAGCAAATGCAGAGCATTAAACTCCAAGGGTGAGGCCCTGTGTGAGGGCACTGACTGCACGCCCAGGAAGCAGACCCTACCTGCCAACCAGAGGACATCAACAAACTCAGCTAAAATACATGTCATTTCAGTAAAAGATTTGCCAACTCTTTCCCTAAGCCTCCCCGTCCATTCCTTGCCCCTAAAACTGGTGGAATGGAGGAGGGTGAGAGAGAGGTGTGAATTAAAGAGCAGATTCTACGTTCTTCCTTGGACCATTTCTTCAGTTCAGGGTGCAGGCCTGAGCTGGGAGATGGGAAAACAGACTTGAATCAGTCTAGGCATTATAACTGAAAATTATTATCATTGTTATCAAAGTGAGTATTTTGTATGTATGTATGTGCTTGTTGATTGATTGATAATTCAAAGTATCAAAAAGCAATGGGATTCACCTGAGAAGTCAGCAAGGGGCAGAGAAGGAATAGCTAATAAAGCATGTTTGACAATAATTGATGAAAAATACAGCCATTTTCTTCCTGTACCTCCAACAAGTTCCAATTGTTTCACATAAAACTATGGTTCAGGGATATGATAAATGGGTAACAAAGTAAAACTCACCGGAAATTCTCCACCAGTAAATTCACTGCATAAAAGGGGTAAGTGATAAAGTCATGAGAGAGTAATTTGAAATGGGTTATTTGTGTCAAGATGGCATATTGATTACTTAGTGACCAATATGCAATTTAATTGCTTTGATTGCCCAAAGACACACCATCTTTTGTACAAATGAGCAATAGTCATCT